TATTGAATTATAAATTTAACTATTAACTAACCTGAGGTCTTTTGAGCGCAAGCACAAAATATCTTTTACGAGGGGCGGCTGACTTTTTCGCGACATAAAGTACTTAATGAACAAACGGGTGTGTTGTCTTGAGGAAACAGAACTCCGCGCGCTAACTCAACAAACCTCTTCTGTACGACTGCCTCAAGCACCTTACTCAACAAATTATCCACTGCATCGACTGCTGTTTGGACTCGGCATCATATTGCGAAATTGCATTCTCGAAAAATGAAGAGAAAAACATATGCCGACTCTATTTTACTTTTCCATTCACTCTCATAAGATCAGTCGGATTCTACTTATACAAATTTTTTTGCGGATGTGAAAATCGGGGAATGAATTATGTGATTTTTATCCGAATCTTAAGAAAAAAAAATAACGATTAATAATAGTTTTTAATTGTCTACTTTACTACATATTTATTAAAAAATAATTTACTATAAAAAATTGCATAACAAGTAAATTCCACTTAATTTATATTTATTAACGTTGAAAACAATCGAATATCTTAAAATTAATATTTATTTGTTTCTTCAGAAACTACGTAGCTTTACTCTTACCTTTCCTTCAGAAAGATGGCTGTAAATGAGCGTGTAAACTTCGAAACATCGCTTGCATGGTTGGGCGAGCGATTTTCCGCCCAACTTCCCCTCCTAGACCTGCACTGCTAATCTTTCGGCTGCGAACTGTTAACGACTAACGACTTCTTATCGCCGGATAAAAATTTAGCGCAGATTTCCTAAGAGAACTTTTTTTAATTAACTATGAAAAACATTTAATTATTAATACTCTATTCCACTGAACATCTCGGTCGCGTAGGTGATGGCACCTGCAGCCCCTAGGTGACAATGTGCTCCATGCGACCAGCTTCGAAGCTGAGCGCTCTGTAGATCCCTTAGGTACATTGGTACTTAGGTAAAACATTGAATGGCCTATATGTATGAGGTTAGCGTTATTTCGCTTAATTAAAAGAATGTTGTTGTCTAGCAAGTTTGTGCTGGATGAATCAGTGATGAGACGGACATATGGGCGGACGAAAGGTAAAGCATTACTAAAGCAATTCGTCTCATTATAAGTTTTATTTTATGTTTTCATAAACAACCGCGAACCACGAACTACAATATGCTGAACGGGCACTGCAATAGGGTATAAATATATTTAAAACGTAGTATTCTTTTATGCTATAAACTGCAGTGAGTGCTGGAGAATTTTCAAACTAATTACTCAAAAATACGTAAAGCGGTACACGAATGATTTGAAATGTCTGAACGAATGCAAAGATGTGACATATCCATATTTAGAACCTGTTGTCTGGGATAATCTTCAGCTTTTTTTTGAATCACATTACTTCTTTCATAAATTGGCTCCGTACTGATGGTAGGTGCGCTCTTGAATCCTAGGCAAATCGGTATGAGTTAAGATATTTATAATTATGAACACACTCGTAATATATATGTATGTATGTATATACATACGTATATTAATATGAACCCAGTGGAAATTGTATTCATCAAACATCGATATAAGCTGCATGAACAAGCTGCTCTGCCTGCATGCCAGTACCATTATCCTCTATTTGTTTTTTACCCGAAAAGTTCCTACGAGCGTGTGTAAGCTTTAGCCATTCAATTGTACTTCTAATGTAGGTGTACAAAACTAATAAAAGAGTATGTATGAAAATTTTTTAGTACGAGTATGCTGTTTCTGATGGATTTTTAAGAGGAGCCTATAATTTCATGTCAGAAGTACAATGGAAGGTGTTGAAATTCCTTGCCGAGAAGCTCTCAGAAATTTGTTTCCTATAATTTTGGAAACCGTATTGAGGAGAATTCGAAGCTAACATCATCCGAATGGTAGAACGTACTGTTACTAAGTATATATATATTTTTTATTATCAAGAAATTCTTTACAGCTTGCCTTGTCGAAGTTAGCCGATAGACCCAAATACAATACAACAATACAACCTCGATTTAGCAAAACCCAGAGGAATTAAAAACAGTTATATCGCGCAATTCGCTGCAGTGAGTTTTGGTTGAAATATGAGCTTTTTAACAAGATAATGGGTTGAGTAAATCGTTAAATAGAGGCCATTAAATTATAACAAAACAAATTTTTTGTAATTTACATCAAATAATGAATACATTCACCGATATACTCTTTACCATTGTATTTCGGCCTTGCCCATTTTTCAGTAGACAGTACGCGGATTTCTGACAAGTTGGCACTGAATGAATTATTCGTATTTATTTATATGTGAGAAATCACTTAAAGAAGCTCAATAAAATTTAGGGAACACGCTTCCTAAAATTTATAGTATGAATGGCAATACCAGCGATACCCATTTCCCGCCCAACCAACCGAAGGGCGCGTCTGACATAGTCGAAAACACTAAGGCTCCATTGTTACTCGGAACTTCTCAAACACGTAAATATCTAATATCCAATCAACTCAATCAAACTTCACTGGACTTGTATGATGAACTTACAATTTTCGACGATTAGGAATTGGTAACATGGAGGGAGGACCATGTGTAGAAGTTCAGGAGGATGGGATCATGTTTAGAAGTTCATAAAAGTGAGGAAAGTTTTTGACTGTGAATCCCATACGGTTGTACGTAGGGTTCGGATCCCACTGTCTGCGACAATTAGCCCCATAAATACCGTATATAAGGTATAATCGAGTGTATTGTGGGAAAGACTAAAGCCCGCCGCCAACAATGTGATTGGACCTTATAAGTGTGGTTTTAGACCTGGTAATCAATCATTGACCAGATATTCACCATGCGCCAAAGCTTTAAAAAAACCCCTTAAGAAGAATCGATTTTTAATATGCCTTCGGCAGCATTGTATGTATGTAGCTGCCTCTACGCCGCTATGTCTGAATTTGGTAAACTGACGCTGGAACACCAGAAGCGCAGTCATATTCGGGAAGGGCTTCTCTTGGCCTTTCGTTATCGAGCAAGGTTTCAGACAAGGTTACTCTTTATCGTATGATTTCTTCAATTTGATGTTAGTGCAAATAATAAGAGTCAAATAGATAAGGTACAATTTTTTAAAAGACATTGGTCTTGACAACAGCTCAACGGGTGGTTCCACTGAAGAGACAGGGGCTACGCTGGCTGGCCATGTCTTAAGAATGAATTAAAAGACTACAGCAGGGCTGTTCAAATTAATGGCCACTTGGCCACTTGTGGCCAACCGACAAATTTCAGTGGCCAACGAGAAGACTTTAATATTTTTCAGATAATGATTCTAATTTTTTCCAAAAAATTATTTAAAACAAGGGCCAAAGATATTTTTTTGATGCATTTACGCCTGCCGTTGTTCGATTTGATTTTGACTTGAAGGAGCTCATATTAATATGTACCGATGGAGCTGCTGCAATAATTGGAATTCACGCCGGTTTTGCTGCCTTAGTGAAAGGGTACATCAAAGAACAATTCAACTCACCGTTTCTCATTACATATCACTGCATAATACAGCAGGAAAAAATGTCCGCACAGCCATTTGAAATGGATTGTGATATTTTGAAAACAGTGAACAAGGTATGTGCAGTATTAGCAAAAATACGACGATTTTAGTTTATTCATCGTACTCAATAGAATCAGAGCGAGTGAACTACGTCACTCTGTCCATTGTTGACAGAAAAATGATGATCTTCAAAAGCATTCGCTGGTTAAGCTGTGGAATTCAGTGAAATATCGATACATACAAGGAAAGAAAAACTGTACTTTTTGGTCGATATTACGAAAGATCTGAAAAAATTGAATGTGAAGTTACAAGGAAAGAATGAATTCATTTGGGGCTTGGCAAAAGATATTCAAGAATTCAAGTTGAAATTGGTCGCATTTAAAAACCAAATTAACAAAAATGACACAAATCAATATTATGAAGAATTTGAGCTAGGTTACGATACGCACGTCTTCATTCAATATATTGATATTTTGATTAACGCGTTCGATTCACGATTTGAAGGCTTCCAAAGTTTTCAGTTGGCATTCGTTTGTGACCCAGATAATGTTCAAAAATTGGAATTTGATATTTGGTTGATAAATGAAGAAAGTGACTTGTCAAATGAAACGGGCGATCCATTGTGGAGGCCTTTGTTGTCTGAATGTAATTTCTTGGCACTTAAAGACTTTGTACCAAAGTGCTTATGCATGTTTGGTTCCACATACGTTTGCGAAGTATCCATCTCAAGTCTCGCACGACGTGAAAATAAATACCACAATGCAATATCACAACAAAATTTGGAATCCGAGCTTCATTGCGAACTAATCCAATCGAAGCCAGACTTTAATGAATTGACAGCAAAAGAAGAATATCATCCGTCGCAAAGGTGTTCATTGAATAGATCTGTTGGCCACGCCAAAAAAAAAGTTTGAACAGCACTGAACTACAGGTTTGAAATTATTCGATGCAGTACCCGCTGGGGGAAACAGAGAAATATAAAGACCTCAACCCCGTTGAAAGAATAATGTAGAGAGTATCATGATTTCCAACTGCCGCCAAACAGCGAAAAGAAAGGATGAATGACGGGCTATGTTGATTCGGTTATAAATCGCGTGAGCGGTGCCTACGACAATAAAGAAGACTAAGAACATTAATACTTCCATTTGCTCAGGTATCGCTTTCAAAGGTCTGCGCTAAATAAATGCCACTAAGATTTTGAAATTATTTCTTTTATTTTAATATTATGCATATACTTAGTTAAATAAATAAAGCATCGGTATCAGTATAACCAATAAAAAAGATGTACGCATATACATACATAAATGTATATATATAAACGTGAATATATTAAAAATCTCCATTTGGTAGATCATTGCTTCTTCAGCATATAAACTAATAATAATTTCTGTTATAAAAATTACCGTTTATATCAGGTTCTTAAGATCCTTATCCTTATCCCCTTAAGTTAATTGCTTTGTTAAAAGAACAAAAATATTTTAAATTTTGCAGCAGCAGAGCGCAAGATTTCTTGGGCCAGGTGCAAGAGAAAAAAGTCCAACTCCACCTGTGGCACATCAAGGAAGCACTCATTGCGGCAGTGCTGCAGGTGTAAATAACAATCGTTTACTTTATCGATCCTGCTCTTCCTGTCCAGATCTTTGTGACCACAATACAAAGCCTTACAGCTCGACGTTTAGTGAGCCATTTAAAAGGTTTGTAATCACATAAACACACTACGAAAGCCGTTTACTATACGATGCAGATAACTATAACATATATTTTCATGTTTTTATAATAACTTCGCTTTTTGGTTTTTAGCTATGAGACAGCAGACCGTGCATTATTCAGCGAAACTGCTCTCAAATATGCGATAAGCCGAGCGCGGGCTGACTGTTTAGAAGTGAGTGAGGAAACTACCTCGAGGATATCCTTTAAAACGGAACCATTCGGTCCACCAAGTAGCCCGGACTCCACAAATGAAACACAAAATCTGCCTCGAAGCATAGAAGATTGCGCTGGTTGCGGTCGGTTTATACAGGTAACATACTCGTACATACACTTCACTTAATACGTGAAGAGCATAATTTTTGATTAGGAATATGATTACGGTAGATTTAGAAATTTAATTTCAACTCATTTTTTTCTTTTGATTCAAGCCCTAGTGCAATAAGATTAATTATTTTATGGTACAATAAGAATAAAAAGTAAAGATAATACTTATTTACATATTAAAATTAGTATCTAAAATATTTATAAAAACGTATGCATATAACGCAAGAAATTAAACAAAGATGACAAATTTTTATTATTGCAAATATAAAGATGATTCATCAATTTTTAGACAAATACTCGTAGTTATATAGATATGGATTTGAAAATTCTAAACAGTAAATCATAGAAGCGCTCCGATTTTGTTGATGTAAACTTTTCTTAGGAGTGCTTCTGGCATTCAATTAATTAGACTTTTCATAGGCTAATGTGACCGACGCAGGCAAGGTTAGAATTAGCAACAAAACTCAGATAGACTCAGATAATTTTTCGAATAATATAACTTACATCTCGGCAATCAACAAGAAGAGTGTAGCTAAAACTAAGTTTCTTCTTGTAGATATGTAGCAAGCAGATATCTGACACGGTCATATGTAGGCATCAAGATATCATCTGCTCAGGCATGAGCATTTACATATCGGCGAGTTAGTAAGATAACATTGACGAAACCATAAGATACAGGTCAGGAATTTTGCCTATGAGCCTGGTGAGCTGATTCTCACATGTTGGGTTGATCCGGGTAAAAATCTTTTAATTATAGACAGAATATTTTTACCGGAGCCGTAGTAGTATGTATCGGTAAACAAATGCTCATTTAAGATAAACTCCTGTTCAGTAATAGGTAACCTGTGGTCAAAAGACACAAAATTATTTATTTAGTATAAACACGTTTGAAGTCTTCAAAATTTAGTATTTCTCCAAAAAATAGTCAGGTTAATAGAAAAATTTCTATCGTTTCGGTTGAAACATTTGGAAATATTAACGTTGACGCAGTTATCAAAATAAATTTCTTTTCGTTTTTAGTGTACAAAGTCCACTAACTTAGTTAATACCCAAAAATCATACAGAGTGTTGTGAGGTAGATTTTTTTAAATTTCACATTAGAGATAAGATCGTATATGCCAAGAAAAGTTTGCATAATCATCATCTCGACGCATCTTATACATACATACATATTTATCAGTAATGGTGCTTAAATTGAAAGTAAAAGTTTTTTGATTTCAGGATCGTTTCTACCTCTCTGCAGTTGATAAACGGTGGCATATTAATTGCCTGCAGTGCTACGCGTGTCGACAACCATTAGATCGCGAATCATCGTGTTATTCACGAGACGGTAACATTTATTGCAAGAATGATTATTACAGGTTAGTACATTTACAGCTCCAAAACTATTTGTAGAACTAGTGGTCTTTTCGTTTCTTGCGATTAAGTTCCAGAATTCAGGAACACCTGGAAAAGTGTAAAATTATTATCAGAAACAACAACAAAATATTTTTACTTAGCCAACGCATAATAAAAATTTAAGCTCTTCACTTAGCAACTAACAAACAGCTACAATGCTGCTTCCTCTCGTCTTCTCCACCTGAACTCTACGCTCACCACTCAGTCTTAGTTTACTTTAGGAGTGCATCGGAGGCCATGCATTATCGACCAAGTCAAGTTGACTTCCTTGTCAGCATCAAGTAAAAGTGTCGACGAGTCAATGGGTTGGCGCGGCAGCGGCGCATGGCCATACAAAGGTGCTGCTGCTGTGCTGATACTCGACGTGGTGGTTCTGTAAAAATTACACAAACAACCAAAAAAAGGAAGAGAGTTAATATCTTAAATATTTTCTAAAATGTGATCATTTCTGTCGTTTGGGCTTAGTTATATTATGAAGTTTTAATTAAAAAAAAAACGGTTGAATTTTAACTAGCAGTTAAGTCATATAATTCCTCTTGAAATTTCGCATGAAATAGTATTTCAATTGCCCTACAATGATACGATGAATCTGAAATTCTTCCTCGTGTTTATATTTAGTTAAATCTAAATAAACCAAGTTTTTGGTTAAAAAGTGTAACTTTTTCTGTACAACTTTTTAGCGCTCATAAAAGTTAAATGAAGATCAATATCACACCTTAGAGGTCCAGTTTTGCGCGATTGGAGCTCATCTCGGGATACTTTCCTTGATGATTTTTTGTGCAATATTTTTACAATTTTATCATCACACATTTAGAAAACTATGCAACAGCCCTTAAAGTACTCCTTAAAAGAATTTAAATTTTATCTAAATACATATATATAATAAAAACTTTAAGTATAAATGTGTAATTTTGAAACCATAGAGCAATCAAACTTTCCAAACATACTCGAATGCAATTGTAATTGTAGTTGTAGGGCATAGTAAATACTTTTCGAATAGATCAATTTGAACATCGGTACTGATTTCACATTAAATGTTTAATAAATTGTGTGGCAAGATTCGGCTATTTTCTTTCCATAAGAGTGCTCATATTTTTCCGGCACTTCATGTAGCCCTACGTAGCTTTCCCTGTGACCCCTCCGATGCCTGCCTTATGGAACGTGGAATGCCAAATATTTGAACAGAAGATAAGCTCAAGAGAATGGCCATGCGACTACCAAGGTTGGCGCACACCCATAGACAAGTTTGTATTTTAGTTTCTGATCCCTCCAGAAATTCAACGTCGAGGCTTTATCACGCAAACATTCTTATCTTCTTCTGATTCTTCTTTGTAGTTTTCCTTGTATGCATACTGCACTTCTAAAATCGGACAGGTAGGTTAGGCAGGTATTCATGTAGATATGTATGTATATATGTATGTAAGAATACTTCCAATATACTTTCCCGAAGCAGTGCATGTAGTTTTCCTGCTACTTTCTTGATGAATTGCTGATAAACATTGGAACTGCATGCCAACACAGCGTCTATGAAATTATTCTCAAACACGCGAAATTTCCACACCAAAAGTATTAATGCTTTCACAAGCAATTGAAGCTCAGCCACCGACAAAGCGCCCAGCGCTAGATGGCATGCATATAATCGTATACTTGCATAGCTATATGCATTAATACATATAATAAATGCTGTAGTTCTCTGTGGAAATGCAGCAGTTTGTTTCGGCGGTGCGCCAAGTAGAGCGCATCGAAGACATTAATTTACCCGGCAACTGATGCGTGTGTATTCTGTCAAGCGGACTGCCCCACGTACCCTACTCAGCCTACAACCGCATGCGCTTCACTTGCTACGGAGCTTCACTACCTCTTTTGGGCATGTCCACTGTTCCAGCCAAAGCTTGACTTAGGAAGGCCAAACGCGCAACTTTGCTTCAAATGGCAATTATAATTTGCACATCTCACGCGAAATTGCTTCAGAGCTTGCACTTTTATGAATATTTACATACATATCTATATTCACTGCAAACCGTTCTGTTGCTCGGTTGCAATTAATACTGAATTATAAGCAAAACGTTCAGAATATACATATCTGCAGCTCCCTCCTGCAAACCTAAGTTGAGAGCCAGTCAAGTATTATCTTCCAAGGTTATACTTTGCACCTCTCTCTATCCATCTATGATTTCTTTTCTAAGAAGGCAATTGAAAATATATATCAATCATCTTACCAAGATATGTTAGCCGGGGATTCTTAATGAAAGATTTGATATATGAGAAGTTAGTATTCAGCTTATGCCTACAGAAGATTATAAAGAAAGTAGATTTGATAAAACAATGAGCTTGTGAAATCTCTCAGCTGGTAATTCGTCGAGCCTCATCTCACCTCATGTTTGCAATACGGTCTATAATACTCGCCTAAATTAAGATATACAACAAATTTTAACTTTTAAATTCAGTTTGGACGTTTTCATTCAGAATTTATATAATTTTCGGCTGTAAGTAACAACATAAAATAATCAAGGTAAATATAGAAATGGCTGTCGCTTCCTTCGTGTACACGATATTTAAATTACGGATTCATAAATATTTCAAATGGGTGAATCGTACTAAGTTCAAGGCCATTTGCGATAAAACGGTAAATTTGAGTAACAACATATGCAAATAAAATCATCTTATTAAGCACAATCGAATAGAATTGAAAAATATAAGAGATGGGTAACGATTTCGGGTGGTCGGGGAACCACCCGCTTCTGGGTAAAAAAGCATGGCTCAGACACCATTCCGAGTTTTAAGTGTTGCAAAGGTTTGTTTGCTAATCAAATTCGTGGGTCTTTGTTAAGTGTGATTCATTTAATAGTGAAAGAAAATCGCTAAACGAACATAGTGAATTTTCAAAGATATATTTTCAATATTGGAAAAGTCACAGTGCTTGTAAGCGAACTCCTCTGAACCGATCTGGACCGATTTTTATCAAAATTTGTGTGCATTTCGCGTAGGTATGAAAACCGGGATCTATTTTTTACACCGGGGAGTGGGTGAGAAACTGACCTATTCGGAAAGTTCGTTTAATTTTTCTTTTGTTTACGGAAAGTTTACCGTTGGAAGAAGAGATCCGTTTCTTTGGATTTACGTGGGTAATAAGAGAGAAACTCCTTAGCAGTCACTTACGTACATTCCAAAAATGCCATTTCAAGCAGATAGAAATGTTGTGATATTGTTATGGATTCCAGAATTGAACTTTCAACGGCAAAGTTCGCCGGGTCCGCTAATGTTAAAATAAAATCATCATTCAGTAAACCAACTGTAAATATTTGCCGCTACCGCTTTGCCGCTAAAGCGTTTCCCGGCCAGTTTCCACATCCAATTTGTGGCGCACAGCTTTTTAAGGTTAATGAACGAGGGTATTGAAGAATAATTGACTATATTCCTACCAGTACCTGTTCCAGAAACTGACTTGCACCAGTTAGATGTACATATGAAGTATATGAGATTAATTACTCTTCCTCTTGCGCAGCTTCTTTTGCTAATATTGTAAAATCGAAAGTGTAACAATTTTAATAAATAAACTTATCCAACTAGCTTTCTCGCCGATGTCAGTAGGGATACATAAATACTCGTATGTATGTAAGACTGTGAATTTCATGTTCAGCAATGTTCCATCAAAGGCATTAGCGTGTCACCCTTGCTACGGATTGATGGACTTAGCGGCAACCGTAAATCAAAATGTTTATCATTCAAACGTTTGTGATTTTTCAATGGAGTAATAAATTTGGCAAGTCATGCTCGTCACTCGCATTTCCTCTAAATGATTCTCTTGACATTTATTGCCGCTCTATATTTCAAAAATATCCAACTGTGAACAGCGATATCTCCACATTCGTACATATCTACATATGCTTATATACATATATAATATCTATATATACAAATGATACGCATAACAGGAACCTTTAGTAAGTGTGTTTTCCCCTCGAAAAGTGTCAGCGCCTTTTGAGAAACAAAGCAAAAACACCGATACATATATTTATATAGACATGTAAATATATATATACATTTACATTTACATAAATATATCAAATGTACAATATATGAATAACATTTGGAGCATCATTTTGAGACTTGTGCCATGATCTGGTCGGATCTGCTCCATTTCGCTTCGGTCCACTTGATGCAACATGGCAAGTGTGTGTTATATTATCAATCAAGTGGCCGCTGAGTTGCATACAATCATACCGACGTATGAGGTTACATATACATACATATAATACATAAATACGCGTACATACACGTATTGGATGAAGATATGAACAAGTCTTATGACTGCCAATTTATTATGTTTACATACGTACGTGCATACACATTTCTTTGAGAATTTCTTATATTTATATATTTCCTTAAGGTGATTTCATTCGATTTGATCTTCTATATTATATTATATGAGAACTGGAACCCTACTAATGATTTTAATTAATTTTAAAATTTGCCAATATATATATATATATATATATGTATATAGTACTATATTCGAAGTTTACATAAATGACGCGAGAAGTGTGAAAATATTTATATAAACAATTTAATATTTTATTCAGAAGTCGGTTACAGTTTCAAAATCTATTGGCAGCAGCTTTGAAATTTTTAACTCAAGGTGGTTACCAGCATCAAATAGGGCAAAATTTTCAATTGGGATTTGCACAGCAGACGGGGTCGAAATATTTGTGGGAAGATTGCAGTGCAAAATGTCATGGTTTTGTCCAAAACAATGAAAAGCGAGATGCAAAACTAATTGAAATCTACAATTATTTCAAATTGCCTATTTTTGGTATGTGGGTTCTTTGATTTATTTTCCCTAAAAAATGTGTTTTATAAAAATCGGCAAATCGACTTTGTCTCCAAAAATCACTTATAAGGCGCTTTACAGAAGGTCAAGAGGATGTATTTTAATAATATTTTCTAAAAGGTGCTAGTTTCG